GAGGGAGCTGCTCCCTCGGGCTGGGCAGCAGAGCCGGGGGGAGATGGCACCGGGGGGCACCTTTCATGCTGAGGGAGGGGGAGCGGGTCGCACAGCACTGCCTTGTCCGGCTGAGCTTGCCTGCGGACGCGCATTGTGTCCAGCTGTGCCAGATGTCTGGCTTGTCGAGGGCTCTGGTCGAAGGCAGGGACCCAGGGAGGGAGTGCAGAGGGTGGACACTTTGTCTGGGACAGAACAAGGTTTGTGTTAACGAAGGAAGACAGGAAATACAGCGCCTTAACCGGACACTGGCTGGTCCCACCGCTCCGTGGCCCCCAGCGACATTTCTTTTTTCTTTCTTATGCATCTTGGAGGCAATCAGCCGGGCAGGACCTGGACAAAACAGGCTTCGTGCTCTGGCCACGTGAGCGGTGCAAGGCCAGGGCGGCCATGGCAGCCGGCATGGCTGGGGCCTCTCCTGCCGCTTACCGCCTGGTCATGGGTGCGGGAGCCCCGGTGCGCCGCTCCCTTGCGCCTAATGAATGCGGTGCTGCCGCCCAGCCGTGGCCCCCCCATGGGGCCCCCGTTCCCACTTGGTCTCTCTAATTTGTATTAAGTATCCCTTCCTCGCAGGCTTTCCTCCTCCCCTTCTTCCCCCTTCTCGTCTCTTTTGTGAGTGAATAATTTATGGCACTTTTCATCTTCCTGGCTGTTGTTCCAGGCAGGCGGCGGTGGGATGCTCTGCGCCCTCCTGACAGCCACTCTCAGGCTGGGCATACAGCTCCAGCCCGTGCTGGTGCCACGGTGGGCTGGAAACGCGGCGATCCCTTCCCGGTAACGATGGCGAGTCTCCGGTTGGAGCAGCAACCTCTGCCGTCACCCTGCCGGCCACGGGCAGGCAGGGCCACGGCTGGTGGCTCCATGGCAGTCCACGGGGGACCGAGGGTTGCCGGTGGGACCTAGCGGCGGCCGCAGCGCCCGAGGCTGCGCAGGCAGGGAGTGCCGAGGGAGTGCCGCCCCGGTGCCGGCCGGGGGCTCCCGTTGCGGCGGGGCGCGGGCAGGGCCGGGCGGCCGTGGCCCACCGCGTGGTGCGGGGCTGCGGCGAGGTTTCCGTGGGCCGCTGGCTCTTACATAAGCTCATTGTTTTCTGAGTCAAAAGAGGTTTTGTCTCCACTCTGGAGATGTGACAGGAGGAGGAACAATTTGCCCCATTCATCTTTAACTCTGCCTTTGGAGAGCGGTGCAGTGGCCTTCACCGACAGAGACGTTAAACCCAACCACTTCCCGGCCGTAAAAATCTCCCGGGGAGCAGGTGTTGGAAATCGCCCCTTCCCCTCCTGATCTCCGCAAATCCAGCGCCACAGAAATCAAGGATAATCCAGCAGCCTCTTCAAAATGAAAACGCTGAGCCCTGATTAATTCATTTAATAAGTGACTGATCCCCTCCTCCCCCAACACCACGGCCCAAGAAGCCATTTTGCTTCTCGCTCTCCCGGGCTGGGCACCGCCAGGGAGATGCCGGGGCCGCCGCAGAGGCGCGAGGCGGCTTCCCCGTGGCCTCCTCGCCAGCCTGGCCGCAGCCTGGCCTCCGCAGTGGTGCTGAGGAGGGCAGTGCTTCGGGGGCCTCGGGGCCGGGCGGCCTCCGTTGGGCTCTCCAGCCTCACCGGCATCCCCCATGCAGCGCCGAGGTCCCCTCCACCTCCAGCCCCTGGAGCCTCGGCTCGAGGGGATTAAACAGGAGAACGAAATATTCTGTTTTCCGACTGAAAGATCAAACCAGTTAGAAGTGACTTTGTTTTTACAGTTCCATCTGCTCCAATTAGGGCGTGGGGGTGGAGCAGGGGGGCTCCCAATTATCCTCATTAGAGGGGCTCCTCGTGCAGCCAAGCTCCAGCCGCGAGCAGGGAGCTCACCAGGCTCGTGCTGGTTGATAATGAATATATTCATGGCTGCGCAGCCTGGCCTTGCTTGCCTGCTGCTGCTAGAGCCCTGCTCGTTACGTGTGTTTTGGGCGATTGCTGGGAGTCTGCAGAAAACCTCTCCGAGCTCAGAAGTTTGGTGGGTTTTATCGAAACGGTGATTCTCTGGGAGCGTGGCCAACACGGCTGCTCGGAGTCCTGCCTCAGCTGCTGTTGGCAGAGCAGGAGCCTAAACCCGGTGCTGGCACGCCAGGTGGGAAGGCTCCTGCTCCCTCTGCCCCAGGTCCTGCTTCGCTGTGGGGTGCCCCAGTCACTGCTTGGGGCTGGCCGTGGGCTGGAGATGCCCCAGTGAAGCTGCCTATGGAGCGGCACCGGCACCGGCACCAGCACCGGCACTGTCCCATCCGCGCCAACCAGGAGAGTGCAGTGCTCCCTCCCAAGCCCATCTGCGTTTTTAAGCTGGTTGAAGCCATCCCCATTCAGACCCAAGGACCTCAGCAACCTGAATTTGTGGCTGGTTTTCAGCCCACAAGACTGAGATTAATCCGCCACTTTATACGCAGAGCTTCTGGGAGAGCATAACCTGTAAAAAGGTAGAAATGAGAAAATTATCTGTAGCTAGCGGGTTTACAGACCTCATTATTTACTTACGTTCATACTTGGTTTAAACTAAATTGTTCTTGCAGTAGATGCTGGTCCCTTATGTTAGATTCCCGTTTCATTTTCTTATTCCACCTGGACGGGTTCCTAGACACGTCTTCCTCTTTGTTTTCAATAGGTTTTGGCTGTAGCAAACCCAAGGTTCGTAAATGCAGCCGAGTCAGGTAGAAACCTGATTTGCAGCTGCTGTGCGCATTTTGTGCAACACAAAAGAAAACCTGAGACATTGAGAAGTTGGGGGGTCCAGACCTCACCCCCAGGATCCTGCCCGGTGTGAGCTGCTGGTGTGGGACCAGCACTGCCAATGGGGACGGGAGCTGCAGGGACCGGGGCAGAGCTGGGAGCCACAGGGAGGCTGGAGGTGGTTGGGCAAGGGCAGAGCAGGATGCCCAGGGCGGAGTAGGGGGTGCTTAAGGCAGATTGGGGATGCTCAGAGCAGGTTGAGGATGCTCAGAGCAACGCAAGGATGCCGAGGGCAGATTTGGGATTTCTGGGGCGGATTGGGGATGCTCAGGGCACCTGCACAGCCTTCTCCCAGGTGACGCCTCTCTTGGTGCCCCTTGTCTGGCAGGGCTTTTGTGGCACGGAGGGCCCTCGGCCCTTGCTCTGTGCCGGCAGCTGTGCCGGGGGCTGCCTGCCGCCCCAAGGGCCGGCAGGAGGTCCCTGCCGTCGGCCCGCGGGACGGGCGCTGATTGGCCCCGCGGCACGGTGCTGTTGCTGTGGCTGTGCCCGGGCTGACGGCTGGGCCTGGCGTGCGGCTCGTGCCTCCGCGCATGGGAATAATTCTCCTTAATCCTTCCGAGAGGCATCACTGGATGAGGCTGGAGCCTCCCTCTGGGAGCCCCGTCTCGCCTGGTGCGGAGAGCAGAGCAGGGGGAGGGACAGCCGCCATCCCAGGGGCAGGGAGCCCTCCGCGCCCCCGGCCACCTGCCTGCTGCTGCACGGGGCCGCGGCAGAGCCGGCACCGCTCCCGCACCCGTGCCGAGGGCACAGAGCGCCGGCGGTGGGTCCGGCTGCCCGTCCTGGCAAGGTGTGCGGGGGGCAGCGAGCCCCGAGGAGCACGCGCTGGTGCGGGAGCTGAGCCGGGCAAGCTGTGCCGGAGAGCAAAACCCCCAGTGCCCTGGGACAGGAGGGGGTGCAGGGGCAGGAGGTGGCGGTGCCCCCAGCATCCTGCCCCTCCGGGTATGGCCAAAGCCCTGCTGCCATGGTCCGGGCTGCAGCAGCCTGCCAGAGCCCCGCCGCCGCGGTACGGGGACGGGAGACCAGAGCCGGTCTTGGGGGGTTGCCCCACGGTAGTGCCGGCTGCTGAGCTCCCCTGGAGCCCCGTACTCTCCGGCACACAGAGCCGGTGCTCGGCCCCGGCCAAGAGCAAGGACTTCTGCCTGGAGCCAGCCCCATGCCGGGGAGGGTGACGCCTGCCGCTGGCCCGGAGCACCCGGCACATAAACACCACCCTGGGGATTAGGTCAGCTCTGGTCATTGCTCAGACGAATAAGTGGATCAGCGCAAGGGAAAGGAGGGGGAGGGAGCTCTGCTGAGCGGGTCGCTCGAGTGGGGACCTTTTAATTTAGGGGCTCGTGGCGCCAGGAGCAGCCTTGGCGCAGGCGCGAGGCTGGGCAGCGAGCGCTGGCGCCCGTGGCGGGGTGGCTGGGGACACGCGGTGGCAACCCCGGCCAGCCCCCACGGTCGGCTTGGATGCCCGAGCGTCCTCAAGTCTGTTTATTTTAAGGGATACAAAGTCCTGGGCTGCTGCAGGGTCACAGGAGCGCTTGCCGAGCCTCTCATTAAAGTTTCCCAGCGGGTGCTGGCGGGGGGGGAGGAGGAAGAGGAGGGTGGGTGGCAGCAGCCAGGCACCGTCCCGCCGCCCCGCGCCCGCACACCTTCGGACCATGCGGCCGGAGCCGTCGGCGCGGTGCCGAGGCCGTCCCGCGGCCCAACCCCATTGTCCTGCGGCCGCGCGGGCCGGGCGCGGGGACCGCCATCTGCTCCTCGCTGCCGGCAGCTTCTTTGTTCGCCGCCCGGCGCACGCTCGCGCAGGAAGCGGCTCCCCCCGTGCTTCGCCCCTTTCCTCTCCG